GCCAACAAGTGGTTGGGGAAAAAATGGAATGAGAAAAATACTGGCCTTTTTTTTTCCTTCAGCTAGCTTACAGGAATTTTTTTCAACCAATTTGTTGAAGCCCCGGAATAGATCTCTGGGACCCCAGACTGGGTGGTGCAAATGGTTTGCACTTGGCTGGCAACCTAAAGTCAGTAATTCGTACCCACCCAGGGGGGTGTGCTGTAGCAGCCAGGCTTGGTGATCTGCTTCAGTTTTGCTTGCAGACAAGACAAGCCCGTGGGGGCAGTTGGACTCACACACGGTGTCTCCATGGGTCAGAATGGACGCAACAGTAGCAGACGGAGTGTGGTCAGTGTGCACAACCCGGATCACTCCACTCATCCTGGCTTCCTTTCAGCCGGCCGCCTCGGGCCGGGCGAGTCACTGGGGCTGCCAACCCGGCATCCAATGTTTTGCCTCAAATCCTTAAGACGCTGAGACACTTGGGATATTAAAGCGGGAGAAAGGTTTTATCAAGTCCAACTTCCTTGTGCAGTTGGGACATTAAAATGTAAACAAGCCTCTACATTTGCAAAAGGCTCCCTGTTGACACCACGTTTTTAAAAACTTCTTTTTAACCATTTTATTGCTGTTACGCAGTATTTGACCTAGATCCTAAATCCTCATAGGGATCCCCAAGATAGATAGTAAACCCGCCGCCCTGGAGAGGCTTTGGGCTTTTAGCAACCCTCTAGGCCAGAGTAGATCTGCCCCCTTTGAGTATCCAAAGCTGTGAATCTTTACCAAAACCGACCACCATTTCTTCCTCTGATGGAGCCGCTGGTGCATTCAAATCCGCAGCTTCTGGGGAACCATTGCAACACCAGCACTCCATGGATCAGTCCCAGTTTACAGTTCTGGCTCCTCAGATTTGGTCAGCGAAGTTCAGAGGGACAGCATGGCAGCCCCCAAGGGACAGAGCAAGTCAATGGCCCAGGGAACAGCATTCGGTGCGCCTTCCCCTTCTGTGTCAGGAGCCATGGTGGCATAGCGGGTTAGCGTGTGGGCTGCTATCTGCAAGGTTAGCAGTTCAAAACCACCAGCTGCTGCGGTGGAGAAAGGTGAGGCTTTCTATACCCATAATGATTTATAGTCGTGGAAACCCACAGGAGCAGTTCTACTTTGTTCCATAGGGTCCCTATGAGCCGGAATTGACTCGATGGTAGGGATTGGGCTTGAATGTTTTGCCCTTGTATACGTAAGTAAATGGTTCCACACTTCCTCGAGCCTTACTGCTGCCCAGAGCCTTGGGACCAGCTCCAAGGAGAGGGCAGGAACCTGCACCCCGCCCACATATGAGTAACACAATGTTCACTTGTGTCCAGGGGGCCCTTGCGTAGCCCCTTCTTCTAGGCTTTGCCCCACCCCCACCACCTGCTATGTGTGCTCCTGTGCTCTGGGGATCTGGCTATTTCCTGGTTGACCAGATTGGGTGTGGAAACCTGCCAGTCCAGTTTGTGGGAACAAAGGTGGCTTTTGTCACTCAGATCATAGTTACTTAAAGAGGTGGGGTGGGGCTTGGAGATAGTGAGGGGGCTACAGGTGCAGGTTGGCCTGCAGGGAACAGGGGATTTAGGATCTCGGAGGTGCCATCGTGCAGGAGCCTGAGTGAAGAGGAGAAGCTGCATTTCGTTGGGGACCCAGGGGGACCTGGCTGCCACTTCAAGTGCTTAGGGACTTCCTGAGGGATCCTCAAGAAGTCTGCGGTTAGACACCTTCTAACCGAGGACCCACACCGTTTTAATGATAAGGGAATCGAGGCCCAGAAAAGTGAGCTCATTTGTGAGGCGTTCACAGCTGGGCTGGAATTCCAACCTGGTTTCTGGGTTCCCTGTCCCCGTGCCTGGCCCTGTGGGGCAGGACACAGGCTCACGGATCCCAGAATCACATCCGTTCCCTTTTTACTGGCCAGTTCCTCTCGACTTGAATTCAGGATGAATGACAGTCCCTTTGGCCACCAGGTACCCACTTGGTTTCTGTGTGGAGCCAGACCCACGTGGCTTCCTGGCCCTAGCTCTGCCCTCTGCGAGTTTCAGAGTTAATGGATACACTCTGAGCTTCCTGATCAACTTCTGAAACAGGAGGTGCATCTCACAAGGTTTTCCTGAGACCCACGTGTGGTCTAACCCCAACTCTGCAGCAGCCTGGTAGGCTCAAGTAGAAGTGTTCCAAGGAGGGAACTCTACAGGAGCCCCATCTTGTGGTTGCAGACCAGCTGGGAGGTTCACACCTTTTTAGTTTTGGCAGCAGAGTGCTTAATCACCACACCCCCAGGCTCTCCTGGTAGCAACCCGCTAGGGCAACAGTGGAACTACCCCATGGGGGTTCCGAGACTGTAAGCCTTTACAGGAGCAGACAGCCTCACATTTCTCCCGAGAAGGCTGGGGAAGGTGGGTGCGAACCACCATGACGTCGCAGCTAGCAGCCCACTGCTCATGCCATTATGTCACCAGGCCCCCTTCATAAGTGGGTAAGGCATGGAGGATTCTGGGACCGTGTCCTGGGTTCCTTTCCTTTGCTGTGTCCCCTTGGTGGAACTTGCTTCACCTGGTTGCCCCAGCACCCTCATCAGTGACTTGGTGTTAATGACAGTGCCTGTCGCACAGGTTGTTGGCAGGAGTGAGGGTGAGTCCTTAGAACTTAGCTGGTGCTGGGTGAGCTCTGCATGGGCATCCCACCACATCCTGACACATGGCGAGCTCCGTGAGGTCATCGGTTGGATCACACTTGTGCCTAACAAAGAGCCAGGCCCCACAAACCTTTCCTGAATGCAGGGACAAGCAAGTAAACAAGACATCGGGATACTTTCTACAGAACTTCTGTCTTCCCAGGCGGTCTGGCTGCGGCGGCGGGCAACATTGACTGTGTTCCCTCTGCACACCCACTTCCCCACCCCAAGCCCAGCTGTGGAAGCTGGGTGACGCAGGAGATGGCGCAAGACCGTCCCTAGACCCCCGTGTTTTTCTAGTCAGCGTGGTGGGAGGCCTTTCCTTTCCCAGGCAGCCTTGCCAGCTTCCTCCAGCAAGCTCCAGTTGCTGGGGAGAGGATAGAAAGGGGGAGGGGGAGGTGCCTCCCGCTATTTACATTTCCCAGGGAAAAGGAGAAGTTGCAGCTGTCGAGCAATGGTTTCCAAATGTGGGGTGGAGAGGCGGCTACTTCGGCTTCATCTCTGGACACTCCTGCCCCCTACCCCCACTCCTGGAAGTCTAGTCTTTTAAAGCTCCTTCCAAACGCATTGCCATCAAATGGATTCTGACTCGCAACGACCCAATAGGACAGTGTAGAACTGCTTCTGTGGGTTTCTGAGACTGTAACTCTTACCAGGGTAGAAAACCTCATCTTTCATTTGTGGAGCGGCTGCTGGTTTTGAACTGCTGACCTTGTGGTTAGCAGCCCAACATGTAACCATTGCACTATTGGGACTCCTTAGGTGGTTCTTGCGTGCACCTACCTGCGTTTGAACCTGCTTTTTGTTTTCTTAATTTCATTCACTCACCAACTATTTATTGTGTGTTTACAGGGTCAGTTCTGAACCAAACAGACATCGATCTGCCTTTGGAGGGCTTACATTCTAGAAGAGGAGATAACAGGCAATGGCCGTGTTAGAATAGCACTAGTAGCCCAGTGGGTTAAGTGTGGCACTGCTCACTGAAAAGTCAGTGGCTCTGTTAGGCTTCTGGGGCGGTTTACCTCGGTTCTTCCTTCGCAACGCTGGAAGAATTCACGCAGCAGAAGCACTTTTGTAAATCCAAGTAACTTTTATGAGGGAAAGGGAAGTTTCATGGATCACAGCCTCAGAAAGTACACGCTATGCCTGGAAAGTGTGCAAGGCCGCATGGTGGGGGCCGTGGGAAAGTATGAGACTGAAAATGACTGTTTCCGGGAAGTGTGGAAAAACACACGGGTGGAATTCCGGGACAGGAGTGTGGAACCTGTGTGCAGGGCCAAGAGCAGGAACCAAGAACAGGAAATCCCAAGAGAGCCAAGAGCATGCGGGCTGCTGAGGGTCCATGGGCGCTTACATGCTGTGCACACTGGAGAGATTCTCACCCACTGCTGGTAGAGCGCACCCACAAGAGAGAAGCTCCTTGCCTGCCCTCGGCCTGCTTTTATCCCCTCCTATTGACCTTATTGGCTGAGTTTAAGTGCACCTGTGTGATGTCATGTGGCTGGTGCCTAGTCTGTCCAGCCCAGTGGAACTCCCACCTAGGCCCAGGTGGACTTACTTAGTCTGCGCATACTCTGTTTTGGATTTTCCCCTAGGTGTCTATTTGGTGTGCCTGCGTTCTTTCCAACCCCTTTGTTGTGGCAGGGACAGGTAATGTCTGTTTACCATAGACATTCAGTGGACACCATCCCCTTTATCCCTGGTCTGGCTACCTTCTTGCTACCACCAGCCACTCTGCAGGAGAACGATGGAGCCCTCTGCTTCCAGAAAGGCCTACAGCCTGGCAAACGGAGCACTTCTCCATGTATGGGTTGCTACGGGTTGGCATCCATTCGCAGGCAATGGGTTTGGGTTGTCTTGGAAAATCATAAGTTTTGTGGAAGGAAAGACAAAGATAGAACAGGGTCAGCAGATCTGGGCGTCCCTCAGTGGCATGGAGCAGTGGGTTTAAAAAACAAAACAAAAAATGATAAGAGCTGTATGAGCCCCCAATAAAATGATTAAAAAAAACCAACAAAGTTGCCATCCATCAATTCCGACTCAAAGCAACCCCATGTGCTGTGACGTAGACCTTGGCTCCGTGGGGTTTTCAGATTCTTCATGGCTGATCGCCAGGCCTTTCTGCAAATGCCTTTGGGTGGATTGGAGTCACCAACTGTTTGATTAGTAGTCAAGAGTTGAACTGTTGGCCACCCTGGGTTCAGGAGTGCTAGGTATCAGCCTTAAATAGCATGACCAGAGAAAGTCTCACTGGAAAGGTCAGGTCTGAGCCAAGTCCCAAGGAACTATAGATGAAGGGAAACACCCACCTGTTGAAAGAGCATCCCATGCAGATAAAGCAGCATGTGCGCTGAGGCTGAAACGTGTCTGGTGTGTAGGAGAAAGAGTTAGAGCAAGGCTTCCAGCAGTATGACAGGAAGACAGGGAGATAAGGGGACAGGGTGATGGTTGACAGGTCCTGTCAAACTGTCATCCTGGGTAGCAGTCTGATCCTGAAGGAACTAGGGAACCCAGGAAGGGTTCTGACTGGAGGAGCAGTGACAGGGTCCAGTTTAGAGTTTGAAGGTAGCACTCTGGCCGCTGCATTACCAACTCGCTGCTTCTCGAATAGTGATAAGTAGTTTGTGTAAGAAAGGGCAAACTCTCAAGTGGTGACATTTCGGGGACCCCCACATTATCCTGCTGGTCAACCCAGTAACATGTCTTCCCATTCTTTCCACAGGGTCCCCACTGTCCCGGTGAAGAACTTGAATGGGTCCAGTCCTGTGAACCCTGCCCTGGCAGGTAAGAGAAACTACAGGGTGGGCTGGACTCATAAATAACTTCAGGGAGAAGGACTGAAAGCATGTTAGTCTGGGTAGACTAGAGAAACAAATTCATAAACACTAGAGAAACAAATTCTCCCTTATATGTATATAAGGAAGAGGTTTATATACAAGAGCAATTGAACACTGAGAAAATATCCCAGCCCAGTCCAGATCAAGTCCATAAGTCTGATATTAGCCCATATGTCCAATATCAATCTATAAAGTCCTCTTCAGACTCATGAAACACATGCAACAAAGCCAAATGCAGGATGATCACAAGCCAGTGGGTAGAAAGTCTTTGGGTCCAATGGCG